GGGGGGGGGGGGGGGTCAGGTATTTCCTCAAGTTTTTTCTGTCAGTCAGTAAACAAATTGATTTGAAACGAATCTGATGACAAAATAGCAATGGTTGACCTATAGATACTATCACTGACCTTGGCTTTGACCTTTAGACCCTGAAATACAAACTTATCAGAGGTTCTCACACCACTTGACCTTTGTATAAACCTTAAAATGGCTTTTAAGAAATGAACTTGTCAGATGCAAGACCATGAATTACAACAGGATGGAACGAAACGGGACTAGAAGGATGGGACAGACGGTAACACCATATCTATGCCCCAATAATAAGACATTTGTTTGGTGACTGAAACCATAAACATTTGTTAGTTTTTCCTTACCTTATCATACGAGTAGCCCTCATCAAAGGCTATCATCTTCTTGTTGAGCGAGTAGATTTGGTAGCCCTTGTTTCCCTCGCGGCGGTCAGTGAACTGGAACTGAGAATTAGTCGGATCACTGAACATCACATCCTTCATGTGACTCATCAACAGGTCATGGCGGTCTTGATTGTTTTGGTATTTCTCGCACACTGTCGTGTAATTAGAACCACAAGTTTCCTTCAAGCTCATATCAATGAGATAAGCTGCAGCAAAGACGGAATTAATCACATGAAGAATTCCCGGATCCTGGATGTAGTCTCGCTGAGCGACGATGTTTTCGGAAATACTAGTACACTGACGGATATGATCACCGTTAGGCACGGTAAGGTAACAGTTCAACATTTCCTCGTAAAACTCTGGGAACCATGGATTTTCTGGATAGTTACCAGGAGATTTAGACCCAAGGTAAATGTCAAAGTCTGAAATGTCGGACGATTCTAAATTGAGAGTCACTGCCCCTTGAACCAACTCTTCGTTCCCAGCAATCGCCTCCATATTGTTGCCCCAGGTTTCTGATCCAACAAAGTGGAATCGTCCATGGGAATTAGGATTCCTGCTGATGCCTTGTACCAGACCAGCAATGTAATCGGTGCTTGCGAATACAACAACAGTGTTTGCATTCGGCTGTTCCAGAAGATAGGTTACAACCTCGTTGGCACTTTCCCTAGTAACGGACCCATTGTCAGGGAATGCAATGGTGTTTGAGACGCAGATCTTGTATTGAGCGGCCATACTTGTGAATGCCTCGGTAGCTAACTCCCCGTAGTTGTCACGTTTAAACACCACCTGGACGTATCGCAGGTTGTACTTGTCAAGAAACTTGATGATGCCCTCCACCTGTTTATCGTCTGTCGGAACAGTGCGCATGAAATACGGGTACCTTACATTGTCCAGAAGCTGGGTACTGGTCGAGGCGTAGCTGATTTGGGGAACTTTCAATGCTTTCAAAATTCTGGCGAGATATATAGAGCTGTCACTGGAGTAGGCCCCAATATACATGTTGATGTTCTCCGGGTTCACATTCTGTGCATTGTGGGTAAGTTTGGTCATGCCGTTGTGGATATTAGAAACAAGATATCCTGTGCGAATTGCACTTTCACACGAGTCCAGTGCAAAACCTCCAAGTTTAACATGCTTCAGAACATTCGCGAACATTCCCGATTTGTCGTTGACCTTGTCTATGGCGTAGTTGAAGGCCTCCAAGAGCTGGAACCCATGGAGAGTCTTCAGGTCGCCGCAGGAGAAGGGCGTTAGATCGCGGACATGGACGTCAAAGATACCTGTAACATTTGGGTAAATTGTAAAGTCATAGACCACAGACATGCCATATGTATGTGTACATAACAGTTTTTGTGATTAAGTGTTTGAATTCAAAAATACTGAGAACTTTTCTGATCAATGATTATTACCATTGGGCACCGTAACTCCATAAGTTCAATAAAGTGCTTGAATTTACATTTATTTACATTAAAGCAAAACTAACAGCTGAGGAAATCCTTGGTGAGGGCTGAGTACTTAAAAACATCCATCAAATGGTTTATGAATTGTTTCAATATGAGATATGTAGAAATATTTATTTTCATTTCAAATATTCAAAGATCTTGATCACAAGACACCCCTCTAACTAAAATAAACAAAAAAAACAATCTGGAAAGAACATTAATTTTGAGGTCCTGAAGACTTTATTTTCTTGAATCAGAGCCAAAGAACATGACCTTATTGTGACCTTGACCAGAAAATACAACCTCCACAAAGTGGTAACCTAAACTAGGCAATGCAACGTTAAAATTGCAGTGACCTTGACCTTCGGCAGAAAACGTGACCTTAACATTACCATATCCATGTAATTACCTCCTAGTAAGATATCGCCGTCCTTGTAGGTAAAGTTAAAGGTGTTGATGTTGTTTATACAGATTGTACAGGGGTCGGAGAAGCAGGCTGAGGCCGTCATCGAGACCTTGCCCTTCACTGTAGGATCTGAAATCTGTAGCGAGGCTCCAGCAATGTCGCCAACCTGCATGTAGATATAGGTCAAGGTCAAATGGATCAGCGACATAGTTCAACGAGACAGAGGTCAACAAGCATATAGGTCTAGTCAAGTCAGCTCAAAGATATATATATTGGTCAATATGATACAGGTCATGAAAGATATTATTAATAAGTACAATAGGAGGCACAGTAGTCTAGTGGTAGGACACCGGGCTCGTGACGGAAGGGTTGCAGGTTTGAGTCACGGCACGGCACTTGTTGTGTCTTTTGAGCAAAATACTTTACTCCGCTTGTTCCAGTCTACTCAGCTGTAAATGCGTACGTGGTTAGGCAGTGCTAGAATTGTAGAATGCTAGCTGTGAGCGCCGAAATGGCAGCACCAGCTGTATGCTCCCTGAGGGAGTTGAGAAAAATATTGGCTGTTTGCAAAGGCCCTATAACCACGGATAATAATTTGTGAACCACTTTGAGACGACCTACAAACCAGGTTGTGATAAAGCGGTATATAAGAAACTCGAAATATTTTTAATATTATCATAAGAGCACTAGATACAGGTTTTAGCTACAAACTGACTGAACTGCTATAGCCTCGGCATAAGTATCATATAATTCAGTAGCAAATTTTGTGACAATAATTCTTTATCTTGTATTTTGTGTCATTTAATATGTTTATGCTTTTTTCCTAGCAGATAGTCTCGATAATTTGAAAATTTTTACTGTTTGCCTTCTATATACTTCTAATAAACAGATATAACAGTGTCTATATATAGGTCAATATTGTGGTGATCAGCGATATATTGGTCATCGAGATATATAGGTCAGTGATATAGGTCAAAGAGACAACATATAAAAAGATAATGAGAAAAGTAAACATAAATATATCTCATCAGATATTTGTTTAAAAAAGAATTTTTGAACAGTTTTCAGTCTTAAATCGCAATACAAATTTTTCATTGCGAACAGTTTTTATATAATATCATTAGCAAAATTTTCGAAGATTTATTTGAAATTAATTTGTTAATTAAATCTTTTATTCCGTACTAATAACTAGCAATCTTACTTAAATATTCCGTTTAAAAATGCAACAAAGTTACATAGGTATATTTCTCACCTTTTTGAGTATTTCCGTTTATACCAGACATTCTTAAATGACCTTAGCTGTTAACAGGACATTAAACAAAAAATAAACTAAACCAATTATACCAGACATCCTTAAATGACCTTAGCTGTTAATATGACGTTTAACAAAAATTAAACCAGACCAATTATACCAGACATCCTTAAATGACCTTAGCTGTTAATAGGACATTAAAAAAAAAATAAACTAAACCAATTATACCAGACATCCTTAAATGACCATAGCTGTTAACAGGACATTAAACAAAAAATAAACTAATCCAATTATACCAGACATCCTTAAATGACCTTAGCTGTTAATAGGACGTTAAACAAAAAATAAACTAAACCAATTATACCAGACATCCTTAAATGACCATAGCTGTTAACAGGACATTAAACAAAAAATAAACTAATCCAATTATACCAGACATCCTTAAATGACCTTAGCTGTTAACAGGACATTAAAAAAAAAATAAACTAAACCAATTATACCAGACATCCTTCAATGACCTTAGCTGTAAATAGGACGTTAAACAAAAAATAAACTAAACCAATTATACCAGACATTGTTAAATGACCTTAGCTGTTAACAGGACATTAAAAAAAAAATAAACTAAACCAATTATACCAGACATCCTTCAATGACCTTAGCTGTTAATATGACGTTAAACAAAAAATAAACTAAACCAATTATACCAGACATCCTTCAATGACCTTAGCTGTAAATAGGACGTTAAACAAAAAATAAACTAAACCAATTATACCAGACATTCTTAAATGACCTTAGCTGTTCATATGACGTTAAACAAAAAATAAACTAAACCAATTATACCAGACATTCTTAAATGACCTTAGCTGTTAATAGGACATTAAACAAAAAATAAAGTAAACCAATTATACCAGACATTCTTAAATGACCTTAGCTGTTAATAGGACATTAAACAAAAAATAAAGTAAACCAATTATACCAGACATTCTTAAATGACCTAAGCGGTTAACAGGACATTAAACAAAAAATAAACTAAACCAGTTATACCAGACATTCTTAAATGACCTTAGCTGTTAATAGGACATTAAACAAAAAATAAAGTAAACCAATTATACCAGACATTCTTAAATGACCTAAGCGGTTAACAGGACATTAAACAAAAAATAAACTAAACCAATTATACCAGACATCCTTAAATGTCCCCATTAGTTTGGGAGCGTGGAGTTTCTAGACACACTGGTTTAGAAGTCCATTTATAATTATCATTATATCAGCATAATTTTGATGAAGCTTAAACATCTTGTGGCATTTTCTTTAGTGACAGATTCTAGCAAGAAAGGAAGAATTTAATGGCATTAAATATACCAAAATAAGATTTGGCAGGAAAAACATTTTACCAGTTTTGTAGTTGCGCCATCGTAGAAGAACAGGTCGAGTCCTGTGTTGCCCTCACGGTCCAAGAATCGAAAGGTACTTCCTGTGGGGTCCACGAATGATATGCCCTCCATCTTCTCCATGAGGGCTTCACTCATATCGTCCATGGTCTTGAACGCGGTACACATTCCATCGTAATCGGGGCCACACTTGTCCTTCAGTAGAGCGTCAAGTCCTGCGGTGAAAGCGTACACCGCGTTGATGGTTGGCACCACGTAGTTGTCCTGGGAGAAGACTGAGCTGTCTGTAACTGGACGCAGTGGGAATGTACAGGGAACCTTGAACCTGTGGAAAAAATACAAATATTAACTGGTTTTCTGATTCTCTGGTTCGTGATATGTTTGTGTTGGTTTAAGTTAAAATCAGGTAGCTTTCCTCACTCCTAAACCAAAAACAGGTACCTGGTAGCTTTCCTTAGCCAAAAACAAGTAGCTTTCCTTAGCCAAATACAGGTAGCTTTCTTTAGCCAAATACAGGTAGCTTTCTTTAGCCAAAAACAAGTAGCTTTCTTTAGCCAAATACTGGTAGATTTCCTTAGCCAAAAGACAGGTAGCTTTCCTTAGCCAAAAGCAATTAGCTTTCCTTAGCCAAAAATGAGTAACTTCTGTTTGCCAGAAAAAATAACTTTCCTTAGCCAAAAATGCCATGTAAATTTCTCAAAATTGAAGAAACAATTACCAAAAGAGGAAAAATAGATATGTATCATAAAATAGAATTCTTAGAGATTTCAAACATGAAGAACAAATGCAAGAACATAATTATTATTAGCTTATCTATTTTTATGTAGGTTTGAATAACGGTTTAACACAGTATTTCTCACTAACATCACATTGCTTGATGTCATTTTTTTGGTTACCAGAATGTGCTCAACATCTTCACCTAGCTGTCTTATCTCATTGGTGTAAAGGTACTTATTTTTGTTTACGAAATTTTGAATACATTTCGAAGTGATGCTGAGAATTTTATTGCATGTAATATTAGAATGTTTTTTTATGAATCAGAAAAAGCAATCATGATACACAAAATTTAATTTTGCATTATTTTATAAATGAAATAGGATTACCTCCCATAGTTCACAGAAATAAAATATTTTTTTCTGGATCTACATTTTGCAGCTATATATATATGTCAATTGTAAGGATTAAAGCCATGGAAAAAATAGAGGCTCTCCAATACAGTGTTTGCGAGACATTTGTTATTTCTAGCGCTAGACGATGTCATATTAATTTTTTTCCGACAATTTAATTTAATTTAAAAAAAAAATGATACAATATACCGATTTGTTGGTATAGTGCATTTGAACTATGAGTACAAGATTCTATTACTCACACTGATGTGCCTGGCATGTCACAAGAGAACAAGGTCATGTAGTACTCCATGAGGAAGGGGTAGTCAATGAACGCCTCCGGAGTGTTTAGAGAAGCCATGTAGTTAAGAAAGCCTGCCACACTTCCAGTTTTGATATTTAACATGAAGGTTTTTCCGCCACTGCCCTCCTGTTCAGCGATACCCATCATTGGCATTGGGAACACATACAGCACATTGGCAGCTGCCACATTGTTTTTGCGCGCCCTAAACATTTCCGTAGAGTCCGCGGCATCGGTCCACATTATAACAACTTGGCTCGTGCTTACTGCGATATTCTGGACAATGTCCGTAGCTGGGGAGGAACTGCTCACCATGAAAGACTGTAGAATACAAAGTCCTTCCTGAGATGCAACAGTCTGGAATGTCGACAGTCCCGATCGACCATAATCAGAATCAGAATAGACAACAGTAAGGAATTTAAAGTTCATCAATTTTACTAATTTTGCCATGGATACCGACAGAGTGACGTCCCCTTCTACAGTTCTGAAGAATGTTGGAAACATTTCTTGATTGTTCAGGGGTTCGCTGGAGGCAAAGGGACTGATAAGTGGCAAATTGAGTGTCATGGCGGCATCTTTCATGTCGAGGACTGCCGCTGTGCTGTCCGTGATCCAAGCCTTGACATTCCTGGCACTCAGCATCTTCGAATATGGGCTGTTAGGCGACTCAGGCAGAAGTCCAGCGTAGAGATTAGACACCAAGTCTTGTGACCGGCCCCTGACATTACAGTGATCAAATAACATTGTTCCTAAGGAAACGCCATTCAGACTCACAGGTGCCATTTTGGAATTGATCTGCTGAAGGGCGTAGGTCACTGCTGAAAAAAACTGTGGACCGTTTGTGCTACTCAACCATCCACAGGCGAAAGGATCGTTCATCGACACTGAGCGAACGCCGAATATTCCTCCGATCTGGATGTCCCCTGGGACAGAAACCATGGCGTTAGAGGTCGCCGATACATAGCTGCACTCCATGCAATTTCCTGGACACTTTGACTCAAAGGTTGAACCAGCTCCTGTGGGGTACTGGATTTGACCGGCAGTCAGGGAAAACAGGCCATCTCTAACACTATAGCTACCAACCTGTAAGTAGAGTATCACAAAATACATAATCAGATAGTCAACCACACAATCTACATTGTAGCACTGCTTTCATCCTGAAATAAAACCGGGGAGCCAACGGGTAAATCTCAAAGTATTTAGGGGTGAACTTTTACATTGTTGTCATTTTGTCATTGTGACAAGTTCAAGCAGGGCAGGAAACTTGTACAATCGGTTTACAATAATTCTATTTGAAAAAAAAAAAAAAAATGCTACCCATTTTCTGCATAAATGAAATGCTGACTTCGTACAATCATGACCTTTTACAAGATACTGTACACTAACAAACGGTGGAGTTTTATGAACTTTGTATGATAATCAATTGACCTATCATAAAGAGAAGCAGAGTTCTATTTTTAGCAATGATGACCTTGATCTCTGAAAGACTGTCTAAGTTAATTTGCTTTTACTAGGGCAACCCACACAGTGTTTTTAATTTGTATGGTCATTCTTCCTTCAGGTAATTGAAATCTCGACAAGATCAACAATGTGAAATTCAATTTTTAGCAATATTATATATTAAGTGGTGAATTTGACCTTTGACTGACCACCCCCAAATCAATAAGGTTCGTTCATCCACTAGAGCCGCACACACAACTGAGCTTTGGTCAATGTGTTCTCAATAGATCTGGACAAGTGATGTGGACAGACAGAGAAACAGACAGCTATATCTGTTCTCCCCTGCATTATTTTTTAGAAGGAATTAAAAAACATTGACAATTGAAAATATTAGATAAGATGAAGTCATTTGGACAAGACAACTTACGTTAGCATATCCACTGCCCTGTCTGTAGTTGAGAATGTTGAATCCATTTGTGCCCTGTCCGTGCTGAATCTTGAAAAGTGTGTTCGACTCTCCAGTGAACGAGATGTTACGAATGTAGTGATTGAGCATGCTCATAGCTGCTGGGTTGGAGCGGAACTGTACGCATATTCCGGTATAGGTGGCACCACAGAAGTACTTGAGAGTCTCGTCAAGTGCCTTAGTGACGGCGTATACGGAGTCGATCATGTACGATAACTGGAATGGATTTTCGTATTTCAGACCATTTGTGATGAGTCCGTTGCCACATTCTGCTGGATAGTCTCCCCTGACCTCTGCATCTATGTAACAGTTGTGGGCATTCTGATACCATTCTTTGAAGCCTGGGACATCGACATCTGAGCGGGGATCTAGGGTGTTGATCCATGTCCGGAAGCCAGAGAGGGGTGTTGCTTGTGGCTCCAGAATGAGGCTGCCATGAGCCATGTCCTCCATCCCAGACACAGAGCTGAGACGACTCCCCCAGTTTGATGTTCCGATGAATAATAGCTTACCAATAAGACCTTTAGCTTTAGCACTGGACAACAAACCCCTGACGTCGGCCTGATGTACAAATAGAATGACGACGGCGGCTGATTGCCTCTCCTGTATCTTGTCAATCACCTGGGCGTAGGTTGTATCCTTTGTTATGGTGTGTGAGGCAGACACGCACACCTTCGCTAGGGCTGTATATTCGCGGAATTTTGCTGCCTGTTCCATGCCATAATCTGAAGATTGGACCGTCTGCACGTAAGACCAGCCCAAATTTGACATAAGATTTAGGAGTGCTACGGCTAGATGGTCTGTTCCTGAACTGGCTCGTGTGAAGAGAGGGAACTCCTCGTAATCTGCGAACATTTCACTACTGGCCACGGTACCGATTTCTGGCAGGATATTTGATCCTAACCCGAGTGAGAAGTCAGATTGACCGTCGACCACAGCCTTGATCGAGTGGGGATCCACCATGTGACCATTTCTGTCCACCACATTATCACGGCCGCCCAGAATGTTGTTTACAAACATCCTTCCTATATTGGGGTGGCCGCAGACATCGGCTATCAGCCCTCCCAGACTGACCCCATTCAAGACCCCGGGGAGTGCAGTCTTTGCTGTGTTGATGGCATAATGGAATGCAACGGCTTCCGCCATTCCAATATCATTTGGCAGGCCGCAGGAAAGTGGATCCATGCCTGCACTATGACCGTTGATCAGGCCGGCGATGACAACATCGCCAGGACGGTAAAGAAACTCTACCATGCCTCGAGGGATCTCGCAGTACATACACCCAGGGGCGGGGCAGGAGGTGGTGGGCAGGGTGGGGAGGGCGGCAGTTCTAGCTACATCGTACAGCTCAATATCCTGAAGGTTGAGAGTTAAGGCTCCAGACACGTAACTTCCCACCTGTAAGATATTTACAGTAAACATTAAAGCTAGCACAGCTAACTATCGGTAAACTATCGAGTCAAATATTTAAATACGATTACAAAACTCTATAGCATCATGAAATCAGTTGACCCTAAAATTCCAATCTGATTTGGAAAAAATCATCAACTAATCTAAAAACAGGTGTTAGTGAGATTATGGAGTTTGATTCTGAATTATCTCCCCTGATCAAAATGCAAAATCCGCACACAGCAAAGTGACTATAATATACAGCCATTGAGCAAAAATAAGGAAAGTTATATGCAATAAATCTACAATAAGTCAAGACCTATAGTAGCAATGTACAAAAGCTTAGACATGTGAGTTAATGTATGCTAACATAACATGCATGTTACTTCAAATGACTAAATTATTGCATGTTAGTTCAAAAAATGCAAAATCTACATATAGCAAAGTGGATATGAAATATAATCTTTAATCAGAACTCAAAATTTGTATGCAATCAATCTTAAATAACGCCTAAGATAGCATTAAACAATTTGAACGCGTATTTTTGAGCATGTCTTCCATAGTGAAATAACGATACACTGTAAAGTTGAGCTTATAATAACTCGTACCTATATTTAAGGCATGTTGAATATTCTGTTGTCAAGTTTAGTAAACTGCTTATCGTGTAACGTTGAATGTAAGCTGCAATTGTCTTGACTTTGTGCTCTAGGACAGTCTTATTTTAAATAAAGAATTAAAACAACTGCTTCTTACCTCAACAAAGGAGTATCCAGCACCATTTTTCTTGTTGTAGTTGTAAATACTGAAATCTTGTACAGAGCTGTCTCCATTTCTGTCGAAATTGACCGTCTGTCCCACAAGAGATGGGATACCTTCCAAGCTGGAGAACTGTTTAAACAAAACAGGTCATATTTCAATTCATGTCACAACAATTGAGATCAACGGTGAACCTAAACCCATTCAATATAATCTGACCACTGATCAGTGAAAATTGACCACTCTATAAGTGATAAAAATAATTGACATTTATGTAATGAGACTGAATTCCAACATATGGATTTTCGATAACAAAAAAATCCATAAACTGGTACCTGACACTAATTGCAAGTAATTGATATTTAAATATTGGTGAAATGTCAATCCATTTAACATAATTGAATGACAAAAAAAATATATTGTGGATTAATGTATGAGTCAGATATAAAATCATTTACCTGGAAATTGACGCCCCGCAGGTAGTTGAAGAAATCGCTGCTAGTGAGGGATTGTAGAGATGAGCAGAATGTTGGGGTTGAACCACATCGGGCATTCTGAGCCACACGCAGGGCGGAGGCATAGGCAAACACCGCCTTAACGGTCGTCTCTACAAATGGTACCTGCTTGTAGGCAGCCCGTTTTTGGGCTAAACTGAGGCTAGGACACAGATTTAGGCTATTGTAGGGCGCATAGTTGACGCCACTCAGACGACAGTTATACGTAGTCATATACCAGTCCTTGTACCAGGGGTTCTCCGAAGGCGGATTGTTCTCGTCAAGGCCAAGGAAATAATCGCTAAACTCTGTAACAGCCACTGTTTTCCGTCCTACAAGAATGGCTCCCCTGGCCATCGTTGATGCATAGTTTTCCATTAGGTTCATATCGGTCAACATCCACTGCATTTGTCCACTGTTAGCTACACCTTGCAGAGCATTGAAAAACTTCAGGGAAAAATCAGCGGAGCCAAAAAATACTCCAGCACTGACATCGTAGTTTGAAATGCCACCCAATCGCTGTTGAATGTCTGTTACTGACCCAGAGGCTGGGACGGAAATCGCCTTGGCAATACAGATGGATTTTTTTAATGCCATGCGCATGAAGGTATCGTAGCTGTCCATTCCAAAGACGCTGTCGGAATACACCACTACCACCTTCTTCCACGACAACCTTTCCAGGGCAGCAAGCATAGCCTGTGGAGACAGAGGTCAAAAGGTCACATTTAAAATTTGAAGAAAAAACACCTGATGATAACAATGCAATAAGATAATATTCCCCTAAAAAACAGCCATACAAGAACACGACAATTACAAAACATCAGTTCTTATTTCATCCCACCACAAATAACATATAAGAACTGCAACAAATCACACTAAGAACAGACATGGTCGACGACACACAATCAGTGATGCAAAATGGGGCAATGACGATATCTTCTGAGCAACATCTAGGTGATCGGATATCAATATTGTATTTTTCGTAGAAGCAAAACTTCACCTGCAGTAATTTGCAATTGAGGGGTGTTGATGAAAGTGTAAACTACCTAGTACCTTGTTCTTATAAACAGGCATTTTGCTATCATTGGATATGTTGCAAACTCTAACCGCATGGCCTAAACTGATCTTGGCATATAACACTTGATCGTACACAATATCAGCCAAATTCAACACTACCATACAATATTTACATTTGCATGGCATTGTCACTATATAGCCTCTTTGAGAGCTGTGTCGTTGATGGGACTTTAATTACCATGCCGCACGAGACACAATTCTTAGCGTATTAATTACAACACTGACCGGAACTACAATATCCAATGTAAATAAACATGACGACTGCTGAAATATCGCTGGGCATTGTGAGATTTGATAATGTCATTGTAACTTTATGTGCAAAATTAAAATTAAAATAAAAAACACTTTTATTACAACGAAAACAAAACCAAGGTCTGCAATATCGTACAAAATGCACATCGGTTGAAAACACCAATGCCGGCAATGGAAACAATTTTAACGCTCATGCAATTTATCAGAAATATCGTCTGTTACACTGCACTGATCAACAGGGGTTCGTTATAAATGTCTGAAATACACATATTCTATAGACCTACTGACACATATGTTACAGACCTACTGATGAGTCACAGCACACATAAACATTCGTCATTTCAGACATTTGTAACGAACCTGTGCTCCGTCGCTAGATCACTCACTTCAAACGCTATCAGTTTCACGCGTCTCGGATCCACGGTTCCTCAGTTTCAGACGACATGTCAAATAACGATGCTGTTATAGAATCTACCGATTGTTGTCGGGTTCCCATACAATCAACAAATACATTCACGCCTGGATTCTTCACAAAACGAGCAAAGAGAAAAGTTCGAATTAACTTCCAAAAATAACTCCCTCGTGGAGGTCAAGGTCCCATTCACGGTGTTCACTGTATTTATCCATGCGCGAAATTTGTTCCGGGGGAAAATCGAAACAATTTCAAATCTAACTTTCAGCTCAGATTTCTATTGAAAAACTGGAATCACCCTATAACCATATCATACGCAATTGTATTGATACTAAATTGTGGAATAAATTTGAAGTGTTTGTTAAAATGTCAAAGTACTACTTTGTTTGCCAATCAGCACGCGACAATACGCTGTTCAAACTATTGAACGAAATTATGTGGACTGATCGATAAGGCGGTCATTTTTAATTTTAATTATGAATTATAAGTTAAAAAAGAACATAAGAGGCAGAGAAAACGTAAATATAAGTATTGAACTGTTTTTGTATGATATTTATGATCTATTTGAATGACACAGCTTTGCAAGCAAACAAATCATAATGCGAGCGCGCATTATGGTTTGTTTGCTTGCAAAGCTGTGTCATTCAAATAGATCATAAATATCATACAAAAACAGTTCAATGCTTAATTATTTTACAATTTGGCGAAGTACATGATTTCATACAGACCTCTGCCAGGGAGGTGGATGTAGGAGAGGTCCTCATGAAGTAGGGATAGTGTATCTTGTCACTCAATTTGGTGGACATTGCCCGCGGAGACAAGACAGAGGCTGGAATCTTGGCGGTCAGTTCCGCTACTGGCTTGGAGGTCCAACTGGACAGTGGTCCGAGCATGCCTATGGAAACAAAAAGAAATAAAAATGTGATGTAGGTAAACAATATTTTGATAAACTCTGAAATAAAGTTATTGAAATGACAGCATTCATAGACACACAAGACTGTCACTGGGGCTTTGATATATTTGTTACCCATGGTGAACAAAGGGCTGTAACTCTGTATATTAGTGGGACAGGTGGCCAACTGTGAACACATGCTCCTCTGCCACCCACGAGGATCTGACATACAAAAAGGTGACACCCTAGAGGTACCGACATACAAAATGGTGACACCCTAGAGGTACCGACATACAAAATGGTGACATCCTAGAAGTACCGACATACAAAATGGTGACACCCTAGAGGTACCGACATACAAAATGGTGACACCCTAGAGGTACCGACATACAAAATGGTGACACCCTAGAGGTACCGACATACAAAATGGTGACACCCTAGAGGTACCGACATACAAAATGGTGACACCCTAGAGGTACTGACATACAAAATGGTGACACCCTTGAGGTACTGACACACAGAATGGCTACAACCTAGAGGTACCGACATACAAAATGGTGACACCCTAGAGGTACTGACACACAGAATGGCTACACCCTAGAGGTATCGACATACAAAATGGTGACATCCTAGAAGTACCGACATACAAAATGGTGACACCCTAGAGGTACCGACATACAAAATGGTGACACCCTAGAGGTACTGACATACAAAATGGTGACACCCTTGAGGTACTGACACACAGAATGGCTACACCCTAGAGGTACCGACATACAAAATGGTGACATCCTAGAAGTACCGACATACAAAATGGTGACACCCTAGAGGTACCGACATACAAAATGGTGACACCCTAGAGGTACTGACATACAAAATGGTGACACCCTTGAGGTACTGACACACAGAATGGCTACACCCTAGAGGTACCGACATACAAAATGGTGACATCCTAGAAGTACCGACATACAAAATGGTGACACCCTAGAGGTACCGACATACAAAATGGTGACACCCTAGAGGTACTGACACACAGAATGGCTACACCCTAGAGGTACCGACATACAAAATGGTAACACCCTAGAGGTACCGACATACAAAATGGTGACGCCCTTGAGGTACTGACACACAAAATGGATACACCCTTGAGGTACAGACATACAAAATGGTGACACCCTAGAGTGCACCCCCCACCCCCGATATACATAGTACTAACCCCCAGTAGAGAACTTAATGTACAGTATGTCAGAAATCTGTCATCAAATGATCGTTGAGAATTTAATGATGCTGAAAACTTCATAATCTGACAAAAGATTACAATTTAAGGTATGCAGCTTTTGGGATTTGTTAACATGGAGTCGCTGTTAATGTGCAATCAATTTATCATGTTGTCTCAATGACATGTGACATGAGTAAATTTCACAACTCGTCCATCTCAGAAAACGATTCTAATAAACATCTGAGATAATTTATTATGAAGAGATAAAGTAGATCAATCGTTGTGTTTTACAGTATAAAATTTGATCATAATGAAACATTCAATAAGAATGTCAAAAAAAATTAACCCTTTCACCCCTATGTAACTTTAGTTGACTCTACCATGCATTTACCTTGATGATTCCATTATGGTATACAGTGGTGAAAGGGTAAACTGTAAATTTGGTTAGATGACAGCTTGTAAAACCCTGAATTTTTCAGATTTCCAGATTAAAAATAAGCTTTTGCTCTATAATAATTATAGACAGCAATGTTTTAACACAGGAAGTAAACATTTGTATAAAACAATGCGACATGAGAAGATGAACTTGCCTAAATTGATTGTGTTTCCCGTGGTACAGGAAGTAGAAGCACTGGAGATTTGTGGGTAAAATCTGTTCACCGCGTTCACAGCCATCATTTGGGAAAAACATGTATCATATGCCTTCATTCCTGTGTGATAAATAAAGTAGATGACAGTATTTACAAAGAGCACAACACTAAAATCTTCTACACTCCCACACTTAAATTTCAAATCTCAGTTTTTAGATTTATAAGCCACATATTACATATATAATAATATTAATTATCAACTACATGTTGGAATTGCTCACAAACTTCCACAAAACACTGTCAAACCCTCGGACATACCTTTTCCAATCAATAAATTTTACTTGCAGTTTATTTTTTACTAGGTATTTGTTTTTATCATTTTAGGATTTGAACTGAAAGTTTGCAAATCTGTGAAAGACTTAGCTAGACAAAATTACGTACTTATATGTAAAAGTAATTATTTAAATGTAAGTAAAACTTCGAAATTTAAGAGAAAAAAACAGATTTATTTTTAAGTTGCATAATTATCTTTAACCTTTCTAAATTGCAACTATTCAACAAGATGTTCACTCCGTACCTGATCATAGTGAGAAATCTGGATGTTTTAAAATCAAAACATCATGTAATATTGCTTATGGTGATAACAAACATTTATATTGGTGCTACCTTTGAATTCCAAAACTTTATCCAAGACAGTCATTTCTACGACTTTCCCTTAAGATCTTTGCATGTCGCTAAATATCTTGGGGAAAACAAAACCAGATCAAGCTATTCTGTTCATCTGTCATAAACTCAAATATCTGATGTGAGCCGATAAGTTCTGGTGAGAGCTGACATGGTATATGTCACACTCTGTAGCCTTACCGATTCTGATACCAGGGACGTAGTTCATGTCGTTGACTTTCTTCAATGCCCATCTGGCTGCTTCATACACCTGGATCAGTTCTGTTAGGAAATTAAGAATAAAGTAATTAAAAGTTATTCTCACTAACGGTCACCATCAGGTATTATGGTCACATGACATAAAGTCACCATCAGGTATAATAATCACATGACATACACTCCGCTGTATTTCCTCCCCAATTTTACAGGAAATTTCCCTAAAATTATTGAATTCCGCCCCCCCCCCCCGCCCAAAAATGATGTTTGATTTAACATGTAGTGAAGTTAATTCAACCATATTTTAAATGTTTTAATTATTTTCAGTATTCATCTATGATCAGCAAATATTATTAACCTAGAAATGTAAGACAGCTGACCACAAGCCTATCCCACCAAAATTGACCACAAATCTATAACTACTTTGACGGGACTGACCTGCATACCACATTGACCACATACTACCATATTTAACTGTTTATAAGCCCATGCCTGGTAATAAGCCCATGCCTGGTAATAGGCACATGCCTGGTAATAAGCCCATGCCTGGTAATAAGCACATGCCCAACTTTCATATAATTTCAACCGGTTGACGAAAGGAATTGCTGGGATGTTATTATTTTCTCTTTGGTATGAGATATACCACTATTGGAGGTATTTACATGTGCAAATGGGCTGGGTTGTTACCTTTACATGTCATTCAGGCGACACAGGTTAGGAACCACACAAGTATTTTTTGAAGGGGGTTTATTATATTGAGATTAATAGGTTAGGAGTTATATGTTTGTGTGTGAGATGTACATTATTGTGTAATTGTGTGTTTATTAATCGTGGTGATTGTAAATAAACATTGGGGGGTGCCTATGTCGCTGGGAAATACATTTTTTTTGTATTCGTGTTGTTTGTTCTATTGGATAGTATAGAAGAGAACCTTACTTTTCATGCCTAGTTGTTTGGGTGCCCGGTAATAAGCCAATCCCGCTTTCTCCAAGTTTGTTGGTAGAATTTCTTTTTGAATTTTGTACGTTGTGCAATGCATGTTAACCCTTTCACCCATAGGTTACTTTAATAGACTCTACCATACATTGATCTGGATGAGTCCATTATGGTCTACAGTGGTGAAAGGGTTAAGCTAACCAGCAGAGTGTGTCAGACACTTTCCGATGATTAAGATTGGGACTTTGAATCCCCACTTCTTTATTGACACAGCATAAAAATCTACTAGTGATTTCTACTAGTCACCAATAACTGAATATCGGCTGGTACTATGTAACATTATCGGGGAAAGTATATTTAATACACATAGCAATGGCCACAGGTATATAGTTACCTTTGTGAGGCTGACCACAGGCGTATCCTCCCATGGTTGGACTCCGCACCTCAAACAGTCCACCTATAATGGCATTGGCATTGGTCATCTGGACGTCTACTTCACGACGCGTAGCATCACATGTCTCTCTCTCCAGGTTCTGACCACTGGTCAGGGTCACCACTAGGACCAGGACACACAGCACCTGTCCACCACTAGTCACACAAAGAGAAGTAATGATTCGATTATAAATAGCAATTCAATTTTTCTACAATGCAGTATTTAAACAGTAGCGATCATAATTACCATATATATATTATTTTTGGAGAGGTACGGTATGTAAAAAGTACAAACTGAAATGTGTATATCTTACCAAAATCAACAACAAAATACACAAAAAAAAATTAAAAAAAACAAAAGAAAATTGACCATATCTCCAGAAATTTCAATGGGACCAAGTGTCAAGGAGGGGGGATATAGGGGTCGGGTGTTCCGTAGAGGTGGAAGAAAATATAGGGGCTGGGTGTCGAGGGAGAGGGAGGAATAGGGGCCAGGTGAAGAGGGAGAGGGAGAAATAGGGGTTGAGGGTGGTATAAGGGTGGTATAGTGGTGGAGGGTGGTATAGGGGCTGGGTGCAGAGGTGGAGGGAGGTATAGGGGGCTAGGTGTAGAGGTGAAGGGTGGTATAGGGGCCGGGTGTAGGGGTGGAGGGTGGCAAGGGGCATGGTCTAGAGGTGGAGGGCTAGGTGGTATAGGGGCCGGGTGTAGGGTGGTATAGGGGTGGAGGGTGGTATAGCGGCCTCGTGTAGGGGTGGAGGGTGGTATAGCGGCCTGGTGTAGGGGTGGAGGGGGGTATAGGGGCCAGGTGTAGGGGTGGAGGGAAGTATAAGGCCTGGGTATAGGGGTGGAGGGAGGTATAGGGGCCGGGTGTAGGGGTGGAGGGTGGCAAGGGGCATGGTGTAGAGGTGGAGGCCTAGGTGGTATAGGGGCCGGGTGTAGGGTGGTATAGGGGTGGAGGGTGGTATAGCGGCCTCGTGTAGGGGTGGAGGGTGGTATAGCGGCCTGGTGTAGGGGTGGAGGGAAGTATAAGGCCTGGGTGTAGGGGTGGAGGGAGGTATAGGGGGCCGGGTGTAGGGGTGGAGGGTGGTAAAGGGGCCGGGTGAAGAGGGACAGGGAGATATAGGGGCCGGGTGTAGGGTGGTATAGGGGGCTGGGTGTAGGGTGGTATATAGGGGCCGGGTGTAGAGGTGAAGGGTGGTATAGGGGCCAGGTGTAAAGGAGGCGGGAAGAATAGGGGACTCGGTGAAGAGGTTAAAGGTGGTATAGGGGCCGGGTGTAGAGGTGGAGGGTGGTATAGGGGCCAGGTGTAGAGGTGGAAGGTGGTATAGGGGCCGGGTGTAGAGGTGAAGGGTGGTATAGGGGCCGGGTGGAGGGTGGTATAGGGGCCGGGTGTAGGGGTGGAGGGTGGTATAGGGGTGGAGGGTGGTATAGGAGTGGAGGGTGGTATAGGGGTGGAGGGTGGTATAGGGGTGGAGGGAGGGATAGGGGCCGGGGGTAGGGGTGGAGGGAGGTATAGGGGCAGGGTGTAGGGGGGAAGAGAGGTATGGGGCCGGGGGTAGGGGTGAAGAGAGGGATAGGGGCCGGGTGGAGGGGGGTATAGGAGTGGAGGGTGGTATAGGGGTGGAGGATGGTATAGGGGCCAGGTGTAGGGGTGGAGGGTGGTATAGGGGCAGGGTGTAGGGGTGAAGAGAGGTATGGGGCCGGGTGTAGGGGTGGAGGGAGGTATAGGGGCCGGGTGTAGGGGTGGAGGGTGGTATAGGGGCAGGGTGTAGGGGTGAAGAGAGGTATAGGGGCCGGGTGATGGGGAGGAGGGGGGTATAGGGGTGGAGGGTGGTATAGGGGCCGGGTGTAGGGGTGGAGTGTGGTATAGGGACCAGGTGTAAAGGAGGAGGGAAGTTTAGGGGGCTAGGTATAGAGGTGATGGGGAGGTATAGGGGCTGGGTGTAGAGGTGGAGGGGGTTGTAGGGTGGTATAGGGGCCAGGTGTTAAGGTGCACGTGGAGGGCGGTAAAGGGGTCGGGTGTAGAGGTGGAGTGAGGTATAGGGGATGGGTGTAGGGTGGTAAAGGGGCCGGTTGGAAAGGTGGAGGGCGGTATAGAGGCCGGTTGTAGGGGTGGGCTGAAATATAGGGGCCGGGTGTAAAGGTGGAGGGTGGTAAAGGGGCCAGGTGTAGGGGTTGGCGGAAATAAAGGGGCCAGGTGTAGAGGTGGAGGGAGGTATGGGGGTGGAGGGAGGTATAGGGGTCAGGTGTTTAGATGTAGAGGTGGGCTGAAATATAGGGGCCAGGTGTAGAAGTGGAGGGTGGTAAAGGGGCCAGGTGTAGAGCGATATAGGGGCCAGGTGTAGGGGTTGGTTGGAAATAAAGGGGCCAGGTGTAGAGGTTAAGGGAGGTATAGGGGCCAGTTGTAGAAGTGGATGGAGGTATAGGGGCTGGGTGTTTAGGTGTAGAGGTCGCGGGAGGTATGGGGGTTGAGGGAGGTATAGGGGCCATGTGTTTAGTTGTAGAGGTGGAGGGAGCTAGGTATTCATACATATCATTCAAATAAATTATACAATATTTATTGTTATTACATTTTACAAATCAGGGAACATTTTGGGTTACTAATAATTATAGGCTCATTTAGGCTAAATAAATGATTGAGGGATTTTCTCGTTACTTAAGCGAAGATGATGGTTTGTTTTTGGATGATAACCGATCAGCCCAATTTGAGATCCCATCCACAATGATCCCTGCTATTTTATTAAAAGTGCATGTGAACAACATATATATCATTCTGTAGCAAATTTAGTAATGCAGGTTGGAGGAAAGAGACAATCATTATTCAAATTTTATCATAATTATATTACTGAATTGCTATATATATTACCTGACAAGATATTCAAGTATGTATTTACTTTCCATTTTTATCGGTAAATATTCTCATCAATATTTGCTTATTTATATTCCAAAACATTCAATATATCAGTACCACTCCCGGCATAGCAATATAACGATACTTTACCTCATTTTGAAACTGGCAACTGCAGGCGATATATCGCCCCGTCCCTCCGAAAGTTGTTCACACAGTTAAAACACGAATCCTCACGGAATCCCGACCCCCGGATCGATTATACTTCTCCCCGTGCTCACAGAAACAGCAGCCCAACCCAACAGAGTAGCCCTTCCAATGTTTTCACGTTAGTTCGGCCCAGGTGTAAAAATAACTGTTCTATTTTTAGATCATTCATAAGGCTGTACTACCTGAGAGAAAACTGGTTCGGCAAGTCTAACAACCTTATAAAGTAGGCGGGGCTTAATATCTCATTTGCATATCGAATACACCTGTGATGATCAGTCGCCGGGACGGTCGGGAAACAATCGTGTTCAGATAGATCATTTAATAATTTGACACAATTATTTGTATGATGTTTTAAAAGTATTACCTACTAATATTATGATGTACAAAATTAAAGTCGGCAAATCTTAAACACACGCAGTAACCAGTCAAAATGAGACCGCGACAAAGCATTGTTAGGTTCACTAAAATTATTCCATTCGTGTATTTTCAAATGTCTGCTGGATTTTCTTCTGTTTGTTGTAATTTATTGTCATTTCCAATTTATCTGTTTTATTATTTTCTCTGAATTCGTTTATCGACAGAATTATCTAGAGTCAAGAGTAACTTTAACACAATTAACCAGTGTCCAGCTTACGATGTTTTCACGGGATTATGAGAATAGCGCTCAGCCCATACAGAGATGTAAACGTATATTTTCAATTTCCATGATTGTTTTCCTATATCTTTATCTATGTCAAAAAATGCGACAAAAAGGTATATTATTAGATTTATTTAAATGGAAGAACCACATCTTGAACTTTTTGAAATTTCAAAGGGGGAGATTGCACGTGCTCAGAATGAAAAGCATAAACAATATGAGTGTATGTACACCCTAGGGAAAAATTACAGCTCTTCTTTCAGATGAAATCTTCAGATCTTAAAAAGTAGAAATATAGTTTAGTAAATTCACTGGTTAAAAATGCACAATTTTAGGGTCCAAAATCGGGAGCTGTCTCCCTCCTAAATAGGGAGGGTTGGCAAGGAAAAATACAAACTAAACCTTGAAAAAAAAGGTCAATTATGAAAAATATAGGTGGACAATCCTGTTTTTAAAGTCAAGTATAACAAAGAAGCATTTGATAATTGTGTGCTTAGTAAAATGGTTCATCATAAGCAGTCCCTGGGGAATTTCTAAGACCTCAGAAAACTCCTTGTGTCCACCAATTATCTATTGTTGTTGACAAAATCAGCAAACATTTAGGTAAAGGGTACCCCTGAATCAGTTATAATCCCAAAGAAGCGTTTCACTCAGGTTTTTTTACTAGACGTCTTTCCCCTGCTATCGCAGAAGACAAACTAACAACCCACATATTAAGTGTTTCTGACTTGGAGTAGATTCCCCAGATGTCAAGCTATGCTTTTTTCAATGTTTATTGTGCTTCCATTGGCTTTAATTAAGGCTCATAAATTGGTGTCTCATTTTGATGGTTTTAGGTTATAATTCCTGAAGGGCGACGGTGGCGAGGTATGGGCTTTCCAAGGTGTATGTCCTGGGTTTGAACCCTGCAGACTTCTGCTTTCTCTCTCTCTTCCATATCTATTTCAATCATTAAAACAACTCTAATTCTGTAAAATGCATCACAACAGGAGATAATTATAGAATACTTCCAAATTTGAAAAGAACTTACCCAATTATTTCAAAATGTGACAATGTCAATAGTATAATTTAAATTGTTGGTAAAGTTTACCTTAAGTTTTAAATATTTATCAGATAAGGTTACTCCTGGCTACTTAACCACATACAGTTGACTTCTGTGGAAATAGCCTATGATNAGTTCAAATTGTTGTGAATGTGCATTTATCTAACAAAAAGACTAGTCAGCATGTCACCGTATAACAGTAACAGTACTTTATAATGTGTACCAATGTGACTGATGTAAGAATGGTCTCCCCTTAAATTAGCGTCTCCACGTGACATAACAGTAAATGGGAGTGATGCAAAGATCCAATTTTTTTATAGATTGATATTTTCACATTAAATAGTGTCAACAGATAAGAAGAAATTCAAGAATATCATGATTTTTTTTTAAACTTTCTACACATGATTTTTCTTAATGATGCATAATAGCGGTGCTAATGTTCATTTAAAAAAATTGAGATACACTGTATGTGTATCTGTTATACATCGTCTAAGTGCAGGGTGTATCAACATATTATTGATCATGTCTGCCTTCAACCTTACTGAAGTAAACCTATTCCTGTAAAGTACAAAAAGGCAATTGTCAAAATATGACTTCACACAATCTTTTAATAGAAACTGGAAGGCATAGAAACATTCCTCATAATTTTAGACATTGTCCTTTCTGAAAAAATGATACAGAAGACGAATTCCACTTCATTCTAAAATGCCCCTCCTTCAGCGAACTACGAAGTAAATATATTAAATTATATTATCGTGTTAATCCCCCTGTCTTTAAATTAATCAAATTATTATCAACCAGTAATATCAAAGAATTAACTAACTCTGTTGGTTTCTAACTAGTTTGATTTGCAAGCTCTTAGATCATAAACAAGAGGCCCAAGGGCCTTAGCGGTCACCTGAGTTATATCATAGGTACTGGTAGCTTTATTTTATTGTT